AAATATGGTTACTTACTTGAAAAGCATCAACATTTCCAAGTCTGTACTGAACATGGGCATCAATTGTGAGTTTGGTCAAGCGAAGAACTTCACGGCACAAATGGAACGCATTTCCGAAACGTGACTTCTTCCTTTCCTAAATATTAAATTGAAATTATTCGTTTTACCTTACAAAGAATATAGAGACAATTAGACATCACTGCTCTGAAATTATTTATAATTAGCTGAGGTTTTATATGAATTTTCTGAAAATTGGTTCAGGGCATCCAAATGACCCTAACCTGGCTGCAGGGACGTCACCACGCTGGTCGGCGGTGGACGGGCCCGTCCAGCACTCAACATTTCCGACCAGGATTTACAGGCTCTCGACCACCACTATTAATTATTTCAACAGTTTACAAATTGTAACAAAATAATTAGTTTACCTAAACACAATAGACAAGCTAAATTGATAAAGACAATAAGAATACAATAAATGTTTCCGTGGTTACGTTAATTGTAACAAAATACTGCACTGCCCTGCTATTCATCGCTAACTTAACAGCCTAGGCCCAGTTGAGTCATAGCGAACATTGTGGGTCGGCATGACACGGTTGCTCTGTACACATTCAAAGGTTAAAGTTGAAATCGTGACCATTCAAGTGTTTTATTATGAGATCATGGTCCGGGGCAGGAAGATTATTAAAAATTTACGAAACCTGATTTATGTTTTATTTCTTTACTTTGTTTTCATTTTGTATTTTAAGTTTTTCACTTTTAATTATAATTGATATATAATGTGTGTAAATGGACAAAAAATAAATAAATGAGTGCACATGAATCAGTGACATACACATTCATCGTGGTAATCGTCAAACATGTGAAATTACGGCAAACAATGCGGCTGGGTACAGTCGGATCAACGTTTTGTCGCCGGGATTTGTTCATTATAATTTTTTAATCTAAAACAAAGCATGTCAACTATTGAATTTAATTAGGCCTACAGTAAGTCTCGTCTTCATCTGTTTTGTTGCATTCCTCAAATTCTGGCCTAGGCCTACCTGGGCCGAATTACCCCTGGGCCTGGCCTTAGGCCTAGCCAAAAAAAAATCGCGTCAGCTAGACTTGGGCCTAGGCCTGCTCGACTTACTTAGGCCTTTTGGTTTTTAAGAGCTTTCACGAATACGGCGACCCCCCACCCCACCCCGGGAAAACGGGGGGTGGCACCCCCACCCCCGGGAAAACGCGGAATGATCGCCGACCGGCACTTCAAAAAGCTGGTGACATCCCTGTGGCTGGTAACACACTTTGGGAATTTTGAAGGCCAGGGAAAAATGTGATAGTTGATGGGTTGTTGTTCAAGTCTCTATAAACTCTAATGGACCAATTTATCAAAAGATTACTGTGAACTTGTTATGAACTTGTGACTAACAACACAAGAGACAAAGGGGACAACAATGACATAATTATATAGATTATAGCTTGTGTTTTCTTTTGTATTATTTATATTGTTCTGGTGGAATGTCTCTTGCCCCAATAAACAATTGAATTGCAAAATTCGAAATAGAAAAAATAATTTTTTTTTTAAATATTAAGAAATTTAGAAGTTGGAATAAATGTACAGTGGGCCTAACCTATATACAGGTAATGCTTAACCCACAAATCTGGTATTAAAGATCAAGTGTCATAACCACCAGTCACAGTGTCCTCTATTGCCTATGGGAATTTTATTACACTCACCTTGGTTGTTAGTGTCTTCACAGGCTTCAAGTTGAAGTTGTAGTCCAAATGAAGGTAGTTCAAATTCTTTCTGTGAATAAGGAGGTTCAGCATGTTGTACCCTTGTCGGCACACCTGCAAGCCAACCTCAACCCAATCTAGCGTTGTCGACTGGAAGAATTTAGTTGATTTGAATGACCGGAATAAGTATCTGCAGCAAATACAATAAAAATTAAGATATAATGTTTTAACTACATATGACATACAATATTAATGTTTTATATATTTCTCTAATAATAAGTTAAAAAATGATTAACTTTAATCTTGATTAACTAAGAGTAAGGTAAAGAGAGAAAAAAACCATTTCAAATGGCTAATCATTGGATCATATACATATTTAATGTTATCAATATGTTTTAGAGAATGATGCTAATAAAACATTGCTTTATATAGTAAACGACACTACACATATAAAGACATGGCATAACATGAACAAAAACTGTATTCAATCAATAAATTATCAACAGTGCATCTTCAGTAATATATCAATACAAATATCCTAAAAGGGAATTGTAATAATGCTAAATAACACTTATTCTAAGGAATTTCTCAATACATGGACAGTATTAAAAAAAATAAAGGCATTAAAGATTGAGATGTGTAATTCTCATAAAATAATACTACATTAACTTATTATGAAAGTCTAGATGTAATACACAATTTTGAATAACATGACAATAAACATATAAATAAACAATGGCATTAAACTACCTGAAAAAATTGCAATTAACAATTAAAACAAATAACATGGCATAAACTAAGTAATTTCTCAATATATAGAATATAATAATAATAAAAAAAGAACTGGGTGATTTCTTTAATACACAGTATTCAATAAACAATGTTAGTTACAAGATATATCCAAATATTGTATTTTTTGGTACTGCAAATATCAATAAACTCAACTGTTGTGAATAAATCAATTATGTACATTGGCAACATATATAATTGAATCATTAAATTTCAAAAGGTGTATAGTATAGACATAACAATAAATATACATTTACCAACCTTTTCTTCTGTGATTTTGGTGGTCTTGATTTGAGGGCATTTAACACATAGTACTTCAGAAGTTTCTGATACGACACACGCACTTTGACTGGCTGGCCAGCTGGGCAATGTTCTTTGTACCTTGTGGAAAAACAAAAGGTTGATAAACTGTTATTCAACAGGTTTTGATAGTAAGTGCATAACAACTTTTGGTAATATATTATCCAAACATTTAAAATTTTTGAGTATAATTGTTTGAGAAAAGCGAAGAAAGAAGAATCAATTTAACTATAAGAAAACAAAAAATTATAAACATAACAAAAATATAATAATACCAATTTTATGCATGTTGAGACTGCAATAAAGGATGTGTATATTATAATATATAATTTCAAATTAAAATATATTATTTATTCCTCTACGCAAAGTGAAACTACATACCATGATTTAACTAGTGGTATATCAATCGCTCTCTTCTGCCTTCCAGACCGCAGGTTGAATGGACGAGGAGCCCAGAGTAAGGCAATACCATTGCCTGTGTTGTCAGTGTATAGAGGGCGGTCTTGCAAGAATGGCTGGCAGTAGTCTGGCAGCTCAAATTCCTCATCATCTTCAGGCAGTGGCTCAAAGCTCTACACACAAAATAAAATGTTGTAAAATTATTAAAGGTGCATTACCAAACCCAAATTTTCAGATCGCAAAGCCATAAAATCGAATCAGCATGCAAGTATGCAAGAATAGAAACCTGGCTTTTAGCGCATCGAAAACCTGGTCCTAATTTTGGTTTCTGATCTGATGTACATGCTGCTTTAATCTCTGAGCCATTTACAAGTAGGAGCAGTGGTTTTGTTTGGGTTTACAAAATTTGAGGTCAGAAGTTGAACCCATCTCTGTGTATATTGCTCGTCTCTTGAGCAAAACAATTGATTAATGTTTGTCTCTCTCCCCATCCAGAATGGGTACCTAGTGGCAAGTTGAACTTTGACCCAGTCTACTAATTATAGACAAAGTAGTGACAATTAGTGACCATGTGTAATAATACGAATAACATTGCCTTGTTTCATACAGCCTTGTGCTACTTAATAAAAAAAAATTGCAATCATGCACAGAATATCACAATACATCACAAGAACAAATCTAATTATCAAACAGTCAAGCCCAACAGGACTTACTTTCACAGCATTTCTGTGTGACACTGGGTTGATGAGTGGGTCAAAGTAAAAGGCTGGCAGATCAGGGTCTTCAGTCTTAATGAACACAACGCTTGGTGTATGGTACCTGTAAGAAAGTACAATTCAACATTATGACCATATAATACATTTGCATCTCAAACGTCGTGTCTAAACTATCATGAAACACCATAAGGGTCCCTAAGAAGCTTCTAGCCCTCTACATTAGGGCACTAAAATGAGTCTTTGTTTTGTTTCTTAAAAGAAGCCAAAGCTAATTTCACTGTATGTGTATTGTGTACATATAATAAAATTTTAGTAATTGCATATAAGACGCTTGATTTGCAATGCCAGGGTCCTGGGTTCAATTCCTGTCACGGTCATGATTTCTCTTTCTCATGACCAAAACAACTTCACTACCTAAGCCTTATATAGAGCACCTTGTGTCTACATTTGACTTGTGACTGGATTGCCACTTCCAAGTGTTTAGCATGATGAGCCCCGAATGGTACATCAAACAGAACATTAATAAATGTGAAGGAAAGCCATGATGTTAGCCTAGATTATCACAGGAATGAAAAGAAATAATCCATTATATTCAACTACAGCAAAAATACAGATAACAGATAATTTCTTGCTTAATTGCATTATTATTATATATATATTTTTTATCATTAAGTTATCCTTACCATGTGAGATGAACAAAGTGGGGCAGGTTATTATACAGGTATGGAAAAGCAATCCTGTATTCCGTACGGATTTGCTGTCGGATGATTATCTTGTTGATGTCGTTAAATTCATTCCAATCTTCATCCCTACACAAGAAAATAAACATGCTACTTCCAACAAATTGTTTTTTTAATACCATTTATAATTTTTTTGCAACAGCAGCTTTTAAGGGCATGAGGGCAGTGGAAGCAAGTCTATAACTTATTACATTACTACGCCAATTTGTAATAATATTAAGCACTTTTGCACATGGTAGTTGACAGGGATGATGGAAAACCAAACATTTGTTACTATTAATATGTTTCATTACAAAATTTAATGGAAATAAGCCATAACTCAATCCATAAATTTTAAAATTGAATCAAATTAGATATTTTAAACAATTTTCTATTTTTTCTGTGAAGAAACAAATAATTCTATAAACAAAAAAGGCTTAAATTCACTCACTGAAGGTTGAGATCTTTCACAAGTGGCTCAAACTTTGGGCCTCCGGGGATGGCCTGGTTCAAAGCTTTGGATGTGAAGAACGACTTGAGATCAAACAAGTAGTAGTAGTTGTCATCTACGAGATCAGTCAGGAGCTGGTTGGCCAATCGGTACAGTGTGGACATGATGGGCAATGTTAAGTTCCACTGTTTGTAGCTTGGGCCTTTCACAAGTCTGAAAAGAACGAGATACAATTTCAATTTGACTATAAAAATTATTGTGGATATAATTAGAAGCTTCAGTTTTTAACAATAGTCGTCAACAATAAAGTACCCTTAAATATATTATACTTTAGAGCCAGGCACATGCAAATCATTGTCTACCTCTTCTCTGTGAGGCTCTTCATTAATAACAATTCATTGAGCTTGGCTCACTGTCTTCTGGCTTGTAAATAGTTATGTTTTTTTCTAGTAGACCCTGGTCTAGATGGCCTAACAAATTTACTAGCCAAGGTTAAACTTTTACTAGACCCACTTTTCCGGCCTGCTACATGATGAACTGTTGTACAGTTATAAAAGTACAAAACATTGTGATACTAGGTTCAATTAGGAGCAGGACAGCTCATAAATGGAAAACACTACACAATTAAATTCCAAACACGTGTATTTGAATCTTTACCATTAAATTATCCTAATATATTTATGTAATCTTTAAGAAATTAATTCTTTAAACAGTTTAGGCCTTTTTAAATTCTATATATTTTTATACTCTATTGTATGCAATATTCATGTTAACTTTCTGTTATGTTTTAGGGGCAGCTGACTCAGAAGTTCTGAGTTGCAGTAATTTACTTGCTTTAGCTGTCCCTGACCATCGTTTTGTTGTTTCTTTTTGTTTTTGTGCTTTTTAATGTATATATGGTCGAAAAAATTAATGAAATAAGTCCTTATTATTGTTCAACATATACATTATGTCTATGTATAAATTGTCATTTGCATGGGGTTGCAGCTGGCTGGGGCCCAATACAGTTTTGAAAATTAAAAGAAAATGTACCGTATTGTCAAAAGTGTGCACCATGGCCTCTCCGGGGCTCAGTTGGTCAGGGAACTGGGTGTTTTCCCAGGTTGCACACAGGCGTTACATAACTGGCCAAAGCTCCATAGTAATATGTTGGGTCGTTGTAGGAGGGGGCCCCTTTCTAATAACTCTGCCAAAGGGTGTGTTTGTGGGATTTTGATCTATTTGGTTTTTGCAAACAAATATAGGAAAAATTACAGTACTGTTTAAGAGTTGTAATTGAGTGCTGGGTAGTAGTAAGTGGCATCCCAGGCCTGTCCAGGGCCAATTTGGACTGGCCCCAGAAAGCAATTGCGTTACACCACTGTTAAGGCTCGGTAGGAAAGTGCTAGATGTAGTAGGTGGGGACCGGGGCTACGTCCCCCGAGAGCTTACGGGTGTTATACTACCGATTGCTGCAGTGTGTGTTTAATACTTATGGTAATTAAATACTTAAAGGTAATTAAAGTTAAAAAAAATGAAGACAACAATAATATCCATGTGAAAAAGGGGATCACAACATTTGGGAATCTATCTTACTTTGTTTCACTAAGTGGTTTATGATCATAGAACCATTCATAAACTGGACCATCTTCTTCCTCATCCAGTTCCATTTGGATGGCCTCCAATGGTTCGACATCTAACACGTTATCAGCATAGTCGAGTGGCGGTTCCTCATCATCAAAGGGAGGGAAACGCATTCTCTTGAAATGTCGGCGATCACGCTTCTCACGTCTCATCATAATCCACATGGATCTGAATAAATCAAAAAAATATATACAATAAATACTGCTGGATCACAAATATGTTTCAAATAAAAACTTATTAAAATTAAAGTAAATAAAAAATATTGAAATGGTTGAATCTATAACTAATGATTGTTAATAAAATTGTGAATTGAGCATGTTATTTGTGTATAACCTATATGCACTGTAAAAAATATTAGAATGCAGTTATTAAAATGCTATCTTTGTCAGGCTTATCAATTTCATGAATATGTTCAGAAATAAAAAACACATGCACTATAGTTTTAATCATTTCTTTGTTTCATGATCATAACCTTTGAAAAATATACACTAAATGCAATATTATACAGCATAATTTTGATGGCCTTTAACCAATCATTTTAGTTCAAAGTTGAAATTTATTATCATTTATATTATAAAAAAAGAAACCAATTTTTATCGGACATGCTGAAATATAATGCATCTTTCTGCTAAGCCCTGCCCCTTGGATAATAGGGACCTTTCGATTTGTGCGACGACGCGACGCTAGAACGGAATCACTCAAGCGTGACCGTCCTACCTGGCATCCTACGTTCTCTTCATACGTAGATTTGGCCAAATTGCGTTCCAGAATCTACTCGATGAGGTGACCTTAACGTTCCCGCATGCGCAGATGGCTGTTAGTGACGTCATTACGTTCTATGTCCTACCGTCGTCGTGCAATCGAAAGCTCCTTATTGTTTCTACGGTCCCGCAAAAACTACAGTCGTAAAACATACACAAACATGTGCAATTCTTGGACAACACATCTACTTATATGTGCGTATTTATTAACAACAATAATAATTAGTTGAGCTTAAAATATATATGTCAGAGAGAAAGCAAACAGAATCTGCTCCTGTTACACTTACCCCCACTGTGCAATGTAGACTGGCTCGATCACTCTTGGGATTTCATTGACAAAGGAAATCGCACCTGTTATATGATAAAGGACAGATACATCGCGTATCTGTTCCCAAGGCATCGGCATATTTTCCAGCAGCTTCAACACAGCATGAGGCATATATTTCAATGCTCTGAAGAAAATAAGATTGTACAATTATAGTTACATTTATGCTTTAAAGAAATCGTAAAATGCTTTGTTCCAAAAGATTGCTTGAATTCATTGATTATGCAATTCTATCATATAACTGTATTGCATCAAGTTCAGACAAGTGTGGGATTGTGATAGCAGTAAAACTTAAAACTAGGGGGGGGGACACATGCTATTTGTGATGTTGTTTAAATGGGATTAATCAGCCAACTGTTTGATTAAAAAAAACCAAAACAAATGTAAGGTTGCTTCACAAAATCGGAACCACATTTTTAAATCTTTTTTTTTTTGGTGATCAACACCAAAATAGCTAAAGAATCAGTAATTTCATAAAATTTAATGTCTCAATGTTTAAATCATACATATACACAGGCCAAATTCAATTATCACAATTGACTACCTGGAGATATAGCTTCAAACATCACTCTCTTACCCCAAGTAAACTCTTTTGTCATGTCTGAACTTTCGGTTTGTCATGTCTCCATGGTCACGAATGATTTTCCTAACATGCTCAGGTGGCATATCTTCTTTCTGAGCCTCTATAAAACCAAACTTTCGTTTTTCTGCATATCGCTTTGTCTGTAATTGATGCCATTTCCTTGCTGTGAAAATAACATATAGAGACTATAATAATAAACAAAAATTTATAATGCGCCAATTCCAAAAAAAAAAAATCAAAAGTGCCGTTACACTCAAATTTTTAGATAGAAATAGGTTAAATTAATTTTTATCATGCCTATAGAATTCCACAAACTTATTGCATACCCTTTTCCTGTAGCTTTTCTTCCGACATGTAATCAGGTACTGGGGGAGGTTGAGGGGGCTGCTGGGGCATTGGCTGGCGAGCTCCAAACATCTGAAAACCAGGTGGAAATCCTGCAGGCATGCCTGGTGGCAAACCGTAAGGAGCAGCCATCTTGCTATTTAGGCTGTCACCTGAAAAGTTAAAATTGGTCTACATCACTGCCATTGTTTAAAGTATTTTAATTGCTACGTGGATACATTCTTTGCAATAACACCACACGATCATTAAATATTCACATGACCCTGACAATTCTATGTTCCGACGATAAGCCCCATCTTGCTGGTCACCCATCCATCCATCAACAGAACATAGTAAAATAGTATCGTGCTACCCCAAAACAGTTTGCAAATTGTCCGTGCATTTTAAACATAACAATCTCCTTGCCAAGTCTGTAAATTGTGTAGAATCTTGCACAGTTTTTAAATTGTGCAAAGAAATCCTTGCAGTTTCAAATTGTGCAAGGTGCAAGGAAAAACTCGCAAAATTTGCAAACTGTACATATGTCTCAAATTGTGCACAACATGCATAACCTCATTTACTGTACTTACACAACAGTAAAAAATGATATGCATCAGTGCTTGCATATGTTACTTCTAGGCCTACAGTGTACAGACAGTACTGTACCATCATCTCACTCTCTCTTGTTTTGTTTCCTCATTTTTTATGATCAATGGCTTCCTCTGCTTTTTATTACAATCAATAGAAATAGTAAGCTACATTACTAGGGCCTAGTGCCGAAGTTTTCTTATTTATTTTCTAATAATTCGTTAATCCTAGATAAGGCCAATGAAAGTTGATTTTATGTTTCTCATCAGCACCCGCTTTGAATTTAGGCCCCACATGAAAAAATATCATTATTCATTATTTTATTTAAATTGTTAAACCTTCGTGAAAATGAACGAATATAACAATAAAAATTCGCGAATGACCGAGCGAGAGAAGGGTTTCAATGAAGATGATAGCAGCGCAAGCGACGTTCCTCTAGGTTTGTCGTACCAGCCGTCACAATGTAGCACGTCTGCAAAATTGAACGATGCAAGTCTGCGAAGCATCTGTTGTAGTGAGGTTATCACCTTGCTTCCACGGAACATGTTCTCCGGTCTGTGTGTTTCAAGCGACGAGGCCAATTTTTTGTTGTTTTTTTTTCCTTAAAATTATGAAGGCAGGTTTGATTGATGGAGTTCCCCCCTGGCCTAGGCCCATTGATGATGCCCATTGTACACGAATCATCATGAAAAAACAGAAACCATTTAACATTCATTTATTATTGCAAACAATTATTCTTATTAAACATGGAATACATAGATAGCTATCTATATATATAGTGACTGTTGTAAATAGACATGGTAAATGATAATATTAACCATGAGAAAAAGAAGTATTTTGTTCGTAAAAAAATAATGAAAATTTTCCCTTATCGATTTTTTAAAAGGTGTTGACGAGAAACTTTCATTGGCCTAACTAAAAGTTTGTACCTAGGCCTATACAACTAGCTAGGCATAGATTAAGCATTACATTAAAATGTAGAGTGATTGGCTGCAAGAACCTTTAGCTAATTGTAGCCTAGGGTAGGCTAAAAAGGGTCCAACCTCCTCTTCTTATTAGTATCCGTCCCGCGGAGAGCACTCTCGTCTCCCCTCTCTCTCACTCTCTCACACGCAAACGAACGACGATGTGATTCAGCCAGCCTGGCCTGTACGCTAGAGGGCCTTTCTTTATTATTAATAATTTACAAAAACCTATGCAAATATGAACTTATTATTAAGATATTTTACCTTATTCTTAGCAATCCTGGTGTGGGTTACGGTTATACTGAAAAATTGTTAGACCTAACTGTACTTACATAAATAAAGCGCACGGATAACTGACCTTAACACACCACCGAAGCGTGGTTTCGACGTTAAACTGTTGCCATACTATACACGAAGTTTCTACGAAAGGGTAATATTTAATTTTTGCACTGCATTCTTAAAAACAATAATGTAAAAGAATATATAGTTAAATTATATAACCATTATTATTATTCCTGCAAATAACATGTTGATAAATAATAAAATAGGACTAAATCTCGTAAAATATCATTCTTTTTCAACCGCAATAACGGCAATTTATCGTTTTGAACTGTAGTAATATAATTGTTCTTTAAAAAGTAACTGATAGATATTTGCAATTTAATATCTGTTTCATACGCATATTTACGTATAATTTATGGCTTAAATTTTATTTGGTTGATTATAATAAATTTAGAAATTATAATTACAGTACAAACGAAACGTAAGGTCACTAGGCCTACCCACAATTCCTCCGCATGATTGTTTACTGACCCTTGTTTGTTGTTGCTGGGTATGTACGGTACGACTTGGTGGGAATCCGATATGATAGTTCCATTAAAATATTATAATAAACTATAATAATTAATGATGGCCAAATTTAAATAATATAATAGTAAGTATTGAGAAAAATACATTGATTAGCATTTGATCCAAATTGTATTGTACTAGCGTAAGTAAGTAATTAAGTAGTCTGCGTGCGACTCTGCCTGACTGTGTCAGTGTGAGTGAGATGACTGGAGCTGAGACACAATCCTTGACCCTGACATGACTGACTTACCTCTCTCTGTCTGCATCCAAAACTGTAGGTCAGGCTAGATTAAGTAGGTCTAGGGCCTGTAGCACAACAAATTTTGGACTTAGGTCTAACATAATCCCCTTGTCTGACTATTGTATTTGGTATTTTATCTGCAATTTTTAGCTTAAGAAGTAATAAGATGTTCCTCTTTGCAATATTTTTGTAAATTTTTTTATCAATCTCAGTTTCATATGTAAATTTAATTAATTAATTATTCACTTGTTTTGCATTTGTATGTTTTTATATATTTATTGTATTTTTCCTGTATATATATTTTTTGTATCTGCCATTTCTAGCCTAGGATGTTCCTCTAAGCAATATTTTTTGTAAGATTTTTTATATTTATTTAATATGGTATTTAAGACATCCTTTTTGCTGTTGATGATAATAATGATTTTTAATATGCCAGAATCCCGGGCCAGAATGCATTTTCACACCTAACTTTTAATTAGGCCTAAGATACTTTCTAAATGGTTGAATCATGTAAACATGTTTTATAATTATTTGTTGTGACTGTAGTCTGAGAAAAACACTGAGGTAAAAAAAAAAAAAAGAATTATTAAAAGTTAGGTGCAGAAGTGCATTACATTATATTGTTTGGTGAAACACCTATCAGTCTACTATTAGTCTTTTTAGGAAACAAAAGAAAGCAATTTGTATTCTTTTGCTGCACCACCACTAGCCCACACTGACCCATTATTTAACTCCCTCAATGTACTTAAATTGAAAGATGTCAATATACTGCAACAATGCAACTTTCTGTTTTCCTCAACCAAGTCCTTGAATCCCCCACAATTTAGTTACTCATTTCGACGGAATTCTTTTTACCATAAATATTTTACCAGAACTGGCCTAAATCTGCATATTCCGTTGCATAAAAAAACATCTTTTCAGTTTTAAAACCAGATTTAGCGGTCCAAAAACTTTACAATAATTTATCCGATAACTTAAAACAATCTGTATCAAAGAAAATTTACTATAGTCTTGATGTGTGTTGGTGAAAAGTGTAAATGAGGATCAAATTTTAGTTTAATTTGTGAACAGTAATTCTGATTTGTCATTTCATTTTTTGTCATTTATTTGATATATTTGAACTCTTTTCAGGAGCATACCTATTACTCTATAACACATTTTTAAAAACTAAGCAAATAGTGAAGATAACAGGAGACATAAAAGGAAAATATGGCAGTTCCAATTGATATTCAGCTACAAAATGCAAAAACATCTCTCTTATTCATGCAGCAGGATCATGCCCACACATTGCAGGGCTTGCATCAGGAAATACAGAAACTTCAGAAAAAATGTGCTGAGATGACATTTGAGCTTGCTATGAAGGGAGATGTTAATGAAGGTAAATCATCACAAACATTATCAAACATATTTTATTTAAATGTTTATTCTTTCTGTCTTCATTCCTGTTTTTCAAATTGTAAAAAAGGATACAGTTAATAAAACTGTAAAGAAGATAATCAGATAATCAGTATTGTGTTTTAATTCAAACTGTATAACTCGAAGAACAACATGCAATATGTCTGCCTCAAAACAACGGTATACCCCCAACAATATGCTTATTTTGACCTTATGGGTCATGGGCCATTAAGGCTATATACAGAGAGCGCTAGACCATTATGTTTTTATACCACAGCCTTACAAATAGAACCTCCAGTAATGGGAAGACTGTGGAACCAAAAAAAATGACCATTCTGCATAGAGGTTGGCCATAGTTTTAAAAGATATATACTTTTCCTTGTTCTTTGGCTTAATTAGGCTGTCCCCTTATTGGTGTCCCAAAGGAGAGGTTCTATTGTATAAAATGGAGACAGAATACTTGCTATCATCATAACAATGAACATTTGAAGGTCTAAAAAGCCAGCAATAAAAGTTTGAATGTGAAAAAAAAAATGTCTTTGTCTCTTAACGGACAGTTACATAATAGTTTGGCTGCATTCTTTTTGGCAGACAGTGTATTTTTAAGAAAGCTTTCATAGCAAAATTATAAAGTAAATATTCCTTCTGTGTAATTTAACTCTTTAGTATTGATACCCATAATATTGTGTTATTTTTATTTCACCTTTACTTAAAATCCACTCCAGCTTAACCCAGAGGCCAATTTTAAGAGCCCTCTATAAAAGGACAAAAATATATAAATCTAAACTAAAAAATTTAAAAGGTTGTCTACAAGTTTAAAATGATATAGGTATAGGTAATGCAACATAATACTCTTTTTAATTAGAAGATTGAAATATCAAAGGAGTACAAAATAAAGGTGACAAAACTTTTTTATTTTTTTTTTTTAAACATCATGCCTTTCTGCAATAATCAGTTTGTTAATAATAATAATTAAAACATATAAAATAAAGTCTGAGCATTGTAATACAGTAATTAAAATACTTTGTATTTGATACACTTTTAATGTTTTTTTCTGAAATAACTCTGCAATCTTCCAATTCACAGAGGCATATCAAGAAGAGAACCAACGATTGGATAAGCTTCTACGAGAGAAAACAATAGAGTGCAATAACATGCAAGATTTACTGGACAAAAAAGAAAAACGCATCAGTGTTTTAGAATTACAATTACGTGCTCAAGAAAAGCGGTACACGGATGAGATCAAGCAAAAAAATTTAAAAATATATACAATGAAAAACGAGTTGGACAAAAAGACAGGAGTGATAGCTGTACTTAGTAATGAGCTACAGCAGGTGAGTTTGAGGTCATCACAGGAGAATGGCGACAGTAGCTGCGATGTTGCGGTAACTCCTGTTCCACCTACAAGTACTATGCCAACATCTAGAAGGAAAATCTCCATCCGGAAACCCCTAGGTCATAATCTTGGTAACGCCAACAGGCCAGGGCCAATGAAGGCTGTCCAGTTAGGCTGTTACAATCCAGTTTCAAGAAACGTGAGCCCTCACAGTGGTGCTGGATATCAGACCCCTGAGTTAAACAAAGATTCTCAGAGACCTGGAACTCCAACAAAGCCGGAACCCACCAATTCTAAAGTATTTGTAGTTCGGCAGAAAGAGCATAGTAATGACGTTATTGTAAGACAGAAACTACCTGTACTGCCACCTATTGTCAATCAAGGAGACTCATCTATGATGGACTCCAGTAAACAGCCTGCATTGTTGCACCCAGATATTTCTGGATCAGGGTTAAGTAAGAAAGAAACACTGGCTGTTAGCAGTTTATTTCATCAGGATAATCTCCGTAAAGTTGAACATTCCAACAGCGATTGATTAATATCAATCATTTTAAAAACCTTTTATCACCGAATATTAATTATCAAAACCTTGAGATTTACAATATAATCAGTGATTAATTAATGCACTGTGCAGTAAATTTATCATGTATTTGTAACTTTAAAAATTATATATTTACAATTTGTATTTTACTCAATATAAAAAATTATAAAACTGTATATACAGAAATTTGAACTTTATAGCCTATAGGTTTTTAAATTTATGTATTTCACTAAAGAATACAGTATTTATGTTATGTAATGTATGTTTACATGAAGCAAACGCCACTCAAAACCACCTTACACTGTATTCATTGTTTCTGCCTTTAAATGTGCTGTAAAATAAGACTAAGTCTTTATATTTTATAACTAAAAATTAATTATAAGAAAATAGGAAAAAATTTATGCTTTTGATTAAACCTTTATGTATAGAAACATTTTGTGTCTTCTGTCTATTATTTTTGTTTAACAGGGATTGATTATAAATACTGTAAATGTTGTAATTCAATAAATTTATAAATAATCCTATCGTGAAACCATGCAATACAAAAAACTTTGGCAAGTCATTTTTCCTAGTACTGTGCATATTATGTTGGCCTATCCAAGAGGGCCAATGTGGGTAATCCCCTCTCCCCAAAAATGTTTGTAACCCAGGGGTACTCATTGAAAGCATGCTAAACAAAAACAAAAAAATGCTTTTTATTGAAGTCACTCCAAAGGCCCGAAAGCCACTTCTTGGTAAGGGGTTACTTCTAACTTTATTACTATATTTATATGCCATGATATGCCTGCACCTAGAGCTGAAGTGTACTGTAGCTTGAGCCACTTCAAAGCCTTTCAACAATGCAAGTATTAAATAATGCAAATATTAAAGCATGGTCAGCATGTGGTTTGAAAAATAACCTCATTCCTCAAGCTAGTAACCATCTTCCCATATTCTCCATGTCAAAATTCTAGATATGGTACAAACTGTACCAATAATCTTGGTGATTCATAATTTTTATTTACACCTTGATTTTATAATTAATTTAATAGACTCCCTTAGAAACAATATCCAACATGGCCAGTGAAACCGAGGGCCTGAGCCTCCCACCCCAATGTTTGGCAGAAAATATATGTCTATGCAGATTTTTGCAATTCATATAATCTCAAATTGATTTTAGAGTACAAATATGTAGAAAATACAGAAAATGTTTTTTTCTCCCCGACGAATTGTGCTTTTTCTCCCCGACGGGAGAGCTAGCACCACCCCTGGGTGCAGGCTTAGCAGAACGGTCTGTTTGGTAGAGCCAATAGTCAAAAACTTTCACCTAAGCAGGGAATTACTATAGCAACTGCTTATTCACCTACAATATCACATAACATAACACAAGACATGCATACAGTGTAACACCTTATTAGGAAAAACAGCTTTAGCTGGCACTAAATGCTAGGATACCAAAAACCAAAATCCTTTATCAGAACAGGAGACTAAAAGGAACCCTCATGAAACTGAAATGTGCTAGCAAAAAAATGCAATAAGATATACATTTAAAATGAATTTAATTAAATTATTAAAGAATGAAAAAATGTATAAATAAACAATGAAACAATAACACGCTTGAACTAACCGATCTAAGTAAAAAGACAAAGTTTGAAATGATAATTATAAATAGTAATATAAATGCAAAGATAAAATAATCTTAACAAGAAAATGAAGTACAGTGGAACATGCCTAAGTCGAAAATGGAATCAAAAAATTGTTCGACTTACAGTAGATAAAGTTTACTTACAGATCGTTAATTAATGAAAAACACAACAATTTGGCATGTAAAATAAGATCGACTTAGAAATTATTTGAGTCTGGCAAAGTCGACTTAGGCAAGATTAATCGTACCAGTACTAAGCAAGCATTGTAGATGACAAGATCATGACGGATGTTAGTACATGTATGTTAGTATAATGATTAAGCTGCTTCCAACAACAGGTGTCTCCCTGAAATCTGCGCCACCCCTGCTCCCGCAAGTGGCAATTTGGGATTCATAGAAAGATTATACTTTTACAGCCCAGCATAACTGGAAGTACTGCATTTTAAATGCTCTCTTGAAATAAGTTTTAAAAAAAAATAAATATTAAGATTATGATCATCATTTATTATGAATTTTTTTTCTTATCTTTATTTTTATCTACTGTAGGTATTTTTAAAATTTCTTGTAAACTAAATTTTGTATTTAATCTTTTTCAAGCTAAAAATCAACCTAAAATTTATAGTCTTCTTGTAATTGTCATCGTCCAATAACAGTGACACAGTTAATGTATTTGATCCCTGAGCAACCAATCACCGTAACCAGCAGTTTATGATTAAAATGTACTGTATAGCAACCACTCCACATCTAGTAGTTGAATTAAAGGGCCATAAAAAATGTGATGGACATCACAACTGACTTATAAAGCAATTACAGTCAACTAATTTTGTATTCTATAGGAAAAAAGAAGCCTTAGGAGCCATTATTTCCTTCAATAATTGCATTCAGCCCTGCAGGCTTCAGGCAATTTACTTCAGGAAATAATGGCTCCTTCGGCTTCTATTTCCTGTACTCAAAAATCCGACTACCTTAATTGCATACAAGTTTTTGTAGTAACAAATGCAATGTTCTATTTTTACAAAAGGCACAGTAGTACGTAATCAGCCTGCGTTTCTACAGTACACAATTTCAGTGTAAGAAGCAGGAAAATTACTAGTTGGATAAACACCCAGCTATTAAATTGCACAACAAAGAAATCGGCACGCATTTTTGCTGATTTTTCATCTTTTATTTCAAAAAGTAATCTTATAATTGGCCCTCATGCTCAATTAATTATGATAGTTCCAAGCCTTAAGAAAATACATATTATAAAAGCAACATCAACTAATTACAGACTTGTATTATAACAATAACTAAATAAATGAGGGATGGGGCCAGCATTTCTCTAACAGGTAGCCCATTGTTCCCTGTCGGATAGGCCATGCCCACATCAGCAAAGTATCTGTCTCTATTTGAAAAGATGTTTTTAATTCATTTTTCCAAGATTATACTTTACCACGATTCCCTGATAGCTGGCAAGGCAGCTGGGCCTGGGCACAGCTGGCCCACCCACTGTAGCCACCCCAGACCTTAAAACTATGCATTTTAGGGTAGGGACGTTACTCCACTAAGATCCTAGTGACCAGCATACCCCATCACGCTCTGTCTTAATCTTCCAATTCAATTTCAAACAACGCCTCCATAATTTTCATTTGTGCCTTGGCCTTTTTTCGAGGGGGAAATGTTCTCAGTTTTGCACTCACTGTTGCCCCAAAAAAACCTTCTTCGTCCTGGTCCAACGTTCTAATGGTCGTTGTCACTCTATGTTCATCCTAAGGAGAGAGGTTAAAGAATTATTGTGGTTTCTCGGTTAATAATTGAAGGGTTTAAGTATACAGTATACGTAATTGTATAGCATACTGTAGAGGACAAATTCAGTGCTAAAACATTTCAACATACCTCTTCTGCAATATTTCTTTTTTCTGTGCAGCTATTACTACTTGTGTGCGTATGTCCTGCAATGAAATAATAATGAATTTGAGGAACTGTTGTAAAAATTAAAACCCAAATGAGCCATTTAGTGCATCAAAAAGAATTAATATTTTTTTCAAAATAGCACCCACACAAAAACTAGACTATTGTGAGGGAGGGGGTGCCCTATTAGAATTTGAATAAAATTAAAATTTGGACAGGCGTTCTTTACACGCTAGCACATATTCGTTATGAACATTTTTGACATGACCATGTAAATCTTCTATTGCAAAACGCTCCCTAGTTTGTGGAATAGGTGCTACATTCAAAGAAACCCAAAAAGTCAAACCTCTTGCTGTTTATACTCTCTGATATACTATTTTACTTTTCAATAATTTATAATTTAATAATTCAACAATTTTTCATTTATAAATATAATTATTTTTGCTTCTAACAATTATGTTAAAACAAATGTTTATAAATAATGACTATGAGCAAAATCATTATTTATATGACTTTCAGCACTTCCATCATATATAAATTATATTTTGCTACTTTAAATTATTTTAAATAATGAAAACTGCTCCACCAACTATTTTTTTGAGGCAAAACTAATTATAATTATGTATATAATATACAAATATTGAATTGAAATTGTATTTGTCATTACTAATTTGGATTTGTAATCAGTGGCATATCTAGGAGTTGGAGGGGGAGGGGTGACTGATGTAGGGAATGGTAAAGTGTTCGAGATGGGCTTGATAAAGTGTGGGTTGCAGTTTTCAAAATAAGGTTATATATGAGGTGCAGTAATTTTGAACAACTTGAGCATTATTTTTTGCTTTGATCATTTTCAATGGGGGGGGGGGGAAGCATGCTCCTCTGGTGCACCCCCTAGATTTGCCACTGTGTGCAATGTTCTCCAAAAGAATGTTTATCTTGAGATTCATACTCATCACATCACTAGGTACGTCTAACATGCTCCGTCTTTCATTTGATGATCTTGCACACTGCTTGATAGCGTTTTCATCTGAATTACTGATAGTCATTATATTGGAATATCCAAGCTTAGCGATTGGTGTCACACGCAGACAATGATTGGTGTAAATTGTCTCGCAACCTACTTCTTCACTGATGACCTTCATTAGTGTGCCTAGAGTAGATTTTCCCAAAACACCATCGTACCATGTCGGAGACTGTTGAAGATACTTTGTTTTGGGTCTTTGAAACAACACATCTCCTCTCTCAGGGTTTAACTTAGACAGGTATTTCTTCAAAGTTTTCACTGGGCATCTGGCATGGCCTGGCTTTTCAAACATCTGACTTACTTGGCTGCGTGAATTATTACCCTTATTGTTTTTAGTTTTTGTATCGCAAAGTTCAACATATTGACGTCCATCATCACTTTCATGAAATATAAAATTTGATGGTTTCATTAATCTTAAATCTTCCCGACCTCGGTTACCAAAGTACATCATTACATCAATAAACACTTTTCTTTGAAGGCCAACGCTAGTGTTCACGTCCAAAGAAGCTTGAATTTTTGTCATGTCTTCATCGGAAATTGGAATATGATGTTTCGTTTCACCTTTGCCTTCTTGTTTAAGTTGATTTACAGAGGCCTTGAAAGATTTGCATGATAACGGAAACTGTAAAGAGTCGGTAATATCAACGTTTTTCAGCTTCATAAAATATCTAGCTAAAGAAAACCTGATAATTGTCAAAGAGTTTTTCGAATAATATTCGCCTCTTCTAGTCCGTGCAGCAGGGAAAAATCTCGCAATTATCTCATCTAGGAGGCCTAGGCCTACAGTCGTGTCGTCTGCCAAAGCTGTTTCAAGGCTGGGCCCAATTTCTTCAGACTCTAAATATGTTTCAAAAACTCCAACACCAAATCTGTCTGTCTCTATTGTTTTCTGGTCATCCAAAGTGTCAATGAAATCTTTAAACTCATCCTCACCCATGAAATTAAACCTACTTTGTTCACCTTTTACACAAGCCATTTCGCAGGACACGACCGATCGATGTGTTGTTTTAATGATTTTCCGTTTTATAATTTGTTGACACGCTAGATCATATCCACCAAAATGACAGGTTTCACGTCATACTATCACGTGCCTTCAGTGGTCACACTCGAACGGTTTTCATTCATTTTCAGTCAAAACAGCACGGCGCAACAAGTACACAAAATTTTTTTTTTTAAAGACTCTCAGTGAAGAAAAGGTTCTAAAAGAAATGTCTGGGGTTAACAACACTAAGACAAAAATCTGGGTTTAGGATTACTAAGCCATAGATTTAACCTGAGGGTTATAAACTATTATATTTATTTTATAATTATTATAAAATAAATATAATAGTTTAACCTCTCAGGAAATCTACTGTATGGTTTAGTAATACCCAGATTTTTGTCTTAACTAGCCCTCCACCTTCTTGATTTAACGTACCTACATTGTATCATAGGCCCACACCATTGTAAAACAAGTACAGGACTCCTCTAATTAAAGACCCCTCCAATTAAAGACCACCTCCAATTAAAGACAACTTTTCTTTGATCTCAATTTAAACTAATTAGAGAGCAAAGCTGCTAAAGACTATGAAAGATCGGTCCCAAACGTGTCTTACTAGAGGGAGATCTTTACTTCCAAAGGATGTAAAAAATAACCCAGGAAAACATTTTGCCATAGGCCTATAGATAATGCTATTAACTTCTCAACAGAAACAGGTTAAAAAAATAGTATATCGTTGATTAAATAAAATTTTACTATACTTTTAAAATGATTACAAACCAATTTAACTTAATTAATTAAATATAAAAATTATACAATTAAAATTATTTAAAACTACTTTAGTTTACTGATGAACGGAAAAAGGAATCAAACATTGAATTAATTTCATTTTAAAAGAATGATATAGTTGGATGCAGGGGAAATTTTGTCAATAATCACACCGAAGTGTGAGATATTAAATTTCACATTTTAAGTAACAGAATTTGCTCAATCCCCATTTGGAGAGACCCCCATTCCAGTTTGAGGTTAAAAAAGTTTATAAAATTTGACATTTTTGTGGGAAATGACCTTTGACAGTACGTCTATAACTCTGAAATACACAATGGATAATATCTGAATTTTTTATAGGTGTTTTGTATTTGGTCAGTGTTTGAGAAAAAATCATACGAAAAGGTTGTTAGCTTATTATATTTGTCGTATTTATGAAATAAAACATGTATTATCAAATTTAGCCAAAAAAGTCATAAAAAATATGTTTTTGATAAATTTGGGTAAGCGGCAATTAACATGTGTCATCATACACATCAATCGATAGATAATATTACAGTACTAGCTTCTGTATGATACCAAATATATTCAAATTGAATCTTCAGTGACAGGGCGTCAAAATTTGGGTAAAAGCGTGTAAAATTTGCCATTTTTGGCCAAATTTGTTACTAAAATCCAAAATCAGCGTGGAATCATCCAATTCCATGTGAGCTATAAGGTCTGGAGATGAGAATTCACCTCTTCGAAAAAAATATTAGATGAAAAGTTTTTTAGCTTAGTATTTCTCATAAATAAAACATGTTTTTAAATTTGGCAAAAATAAGGTCATAAAAATAAGCTTTTATGTAGGCCATTTTTTGGCTCACAACATTAACATAATGCGATTTGATAGATGATTTTAATAGCTTTTGTATGTGATACCAAATATATTCAAATTGAATCGTTTTGTAACATACTGCAGGTCTCCCTCTAATTAAAGATCACTTTTGGGACCGGGGTTTCCATGGTCTTTATGCTCTGGTCTCTAATTAGAATGATAAAAATAAAAGACATTTGTTAATTTGGAATACAGAATAGTGGCCTTTAATTTGAGGTGGTCTTTAATTGGAGGAGTCTTAAATTAGAGGGAGACCTGCTTTAAAATACCATTTTGGAGTAAAAAAGAAGTGTATAATTTGCCATTTGTGCAGGAGATAACCTCTGACATACTATAACTCCGAAGTAAAAAATGAATATATAATGTCTAAAATTTGTATAGGTGTTTTATTTTGTATGTGGTAAGTTATGGGTATTTTACAAAGTTTGGTGAATTTTATAAGTTATTTTATAGGCATCAAGCTACTGTAATACGACTTCATATTTGTTGTAATTTCCAGTGGCGGATCCAGGAATTCGAAATAGAAGTGCCCATGGAGGTTACTTTCACAGATAGAAGATCTAGCCTATACTACCTCAGCCCACCATGGTTGGGTGAGGTAAAATTTGTGATTATGGCACCTCTAGATGGCCGGAAATTGAACTTCCAGACATAAAATTTGAATATAATTATCTTTATATGATTGCTTCCACGATTTCAATGAATAATTTATCATAAGGGTTATCCTTGATATGGGTTCTCCGACGACAACTTCACTTTTCCTCCAATGGATAAAAATTACCCTTCTGTGTAGCCCGGAAATGATACTCCAACTGTGGCGGGTCCAGAAAGTCGAAATAGAGGGGACCCAGGGAGGAGTTTGCGCAAATAAAATATCCACCCACCTCATCCGCACAACTGTTGGGGCTGAGGTAAGAAAAATTATGATTATGGCACCTCCAGATGGCCGGAAATGGCACTCTCGTATTAAAAGTTGAATACAATTTTGTCTGTTTTCTCCATTTTTTTTTAAATAAATTTGAAAAAATTAGGAGGTTGGGGGCCCGTGCTGACAGGGTTCCCCCTTGAATCTGCCACAGTTCAATAGCACTTGACATAGCCTATATCATTTTGTATCACAAATCATTAATTCCTAATGTCAAGCGAAATATATTTTTATTCGAAAGATTTTTTTTTACTCAATACAGTTTTTACAACATATATAACACATTAACTACAGCGTACTGTAAATTCTGTAGAACCTTCAGAGAACTTTATTTAAAAAATGGCCTAATTAATTATCTTATTGTTTTCGTTAAATTAGATGGAGTTTAAATGTGGTTGCATTCAGCTAGTTTGAAGGTTTACTGTAAGCCAATCAGTTACACCTACTATCAGTTACACCTACTTATATATTTTCGTGGTTAGCATAAAGAGAACTAGAGCGTCGCTCCATTAAAGAGTGCCTACCTCCCCCCATATGCCTAAATACAGTATTCACGAAGGCAGGCGATTTTTTCTTTATGCTTGAGGGTGGGTTTCAATGAAAATTTACAGACGCGCGTATACAGACGTCAATCAACATTTGGTTGCTCAACTCAAAAATAGAACTTGTAATGGTCGTTAGAAAATGAAAAAAAAAAAAAAAATATTATATATATATATATATATATATATATATATATATATATATATATTTTCATTTGAATATTATATCTATGCTTTTTGTATCCTGTTATCATAATACATTTTCTATATTTCATATTTATAGACAGGATTATGTTCACTCAACTTGTATACACCGATATCCATTTTATTTTTGTTCATTTAAGACTTTATCTCATCCATATATTGCTACTAGTTTTACTATTACATATTATTATATTATCATTACTATCGTTACTATTGTAATTATTATCATGTCCAGCTCTATATCATTACGTTATGTTATAATGCATACACTTATTCTTTAATTATGTTCATTGTGATCTATAATGCATCTTTCATCATTACAGAGATATATATTTTCTTGCCTTTTATTATTGTCATTTTACTCTTTAATTTATTTCCTTAATCCTTAGTTGCCTTACAGCCACCCGCTGTTTATTCACAATAATTATTTCGCTTTTGTTTATATCAACTTGTTTGTAGGCCCGATGATACATTTTGTTATTATAATTAATTCATCATGATTAAGTCTGACCAATCGCCTATTAGATATTATTGTATTGTATTGTTCCAACTTTCTCATAAGGTTCTCGAAATATTAATGTTTTAATAAAATAGTGTTCTAAAGTCTACTCCGAGTATTCTAGAAAAATAAATATGGAAGAAATGGAACTGGAAATAGAGTGAGCGAGGTACGGTGGAAGGAAGATGGAGTATGACAAATAATGGTGATGTAATGGTGATGAGTTTTACTATATAGGAGTGTCATTTCCAGTCATCTAAAGGTACTCAAATTTCCGCACCTTAGCCCCAACATAGTGGAGCTGAGGGGGTGTGGTTTCACGAAATGTTTCCCCACCTTTCAAAACAGATCTGCTCCATGGCTCTGCTGGAACCCTTCTACTACATAGAGGAGGCAATTTCGAGCATGAAAAAAAAATGGTGATGTAATGATGATGATGAATTTTACTATAAGAGTGTCATTTGTTATGAACACTTTTTCTGCTAAATATTTTTGCTACGCAATTTGCACCTTTGTCTCGTTTCTCCATATAAATGACCCTGTATCCAACATAGACAAAGCAGGGAGATGTAAAAATAGACAAAGTTTCCGTTTTTCTTCCACCGTACCTCGCTTAGTATGTCCAGTTCCATGATTTCATCCATCTTTTTCACATAGAGTTAAGGCAGAAATTATCCAGGGCGAGAGTTTTTTTTTTCTCTTTCGTGGCATGACCACCACTTTTATTCAAAAATATCTGCATTAAACAAACATCAGTACAATATTTCTGCTTCAAATAGTTTTTTCCACGTTAACCTCGTGTTCTCTTTATACCAACATTTAATATATTTTGCTTTTTTTCATATATTTATATAATTTTCATAAGAATACAATTATTTGTACGAGTTAAGAAATAATACAAAAGAAAAAAAATTACAAAAAACAAGTATTCAAATAATGGAGAAATGGTTTAAGACAAGTATTTGATTTTTTCTTCTTTTACACATCAATACCAATAAAGCATTTATCAATATTAATTTATAAAGAGGGCGATAGTTAAGGTCAATTAGTGAACTGATAAAAATGAATGTGCATGCATTTCATTTTTTTCATTACATTTCATTTCATTTAACCTAAAATTTCGTCCTCTATATTTTTTGCCTTAACTGTACAGTATGTGGAAAAAAAATAATTACCCCCCCCCCACGTTGTGGGCCCAATAAAATATAGATAAATATAATTTTTGAAAAGGTTATTGTTGATAAAATGTATGATTATATTTTTTTGTTAATTTTTCTTGTACCATTCCAATCTGGTTTCTGTGTCCCAGTGACAATACCATATATAGTCAACTTATGGAATGTGGTGGTGAGCGTTATATGCATATATTGTGTCCATGCTTAACTTTAATAGTCATATTTATTAGTCCTATTTGTGTTGAAATATGGTAGGGTATTATATGCTTAGGTAGGATTAATGAAGTAAGGCGATTAGTTTATAGGCCCGGCTTACTAATTAGTGTACATTTATTTTAGAAATTATATATTTGTGACATGTTGAAGATTACTGATAGGAAATAAGAATGTTGTACATAGCTTAGTAGACACTTTGATACATACCGAGTCTTCAAATTCCCCATGGAGAGCAAGGCCTCATTTGAAGTGTTTGATCAAAGTGGGATTTATACACTATAACAACTCGATGTACGGACAAACAAATGAAATACAAAATAATTACACGAAGTTGAAATGTGGGTTGAGACAATATTTGTCATAGCATGATTGATAATCAAGGGACGATCAACAACTTATTTTTTTTACATGGCCTTTTAGTCTAACCATGAATCTAAGTGACTATGTAAGAAATGCCACGACGTGTTCAAAACAGCTAAAATTCCAGAGTAAATATCGACAGTAATGTCATTATTTTACCCTCAATTAAGCGAAATATGGGATTATGTTCACTTCGTGAGTTGAAAACTTTGATGGTCTATGTTGCTACAAATTTTCAAGCCGGTAGGTTTTGAATCCTAGACGTTATCTGACGTAATGTGTTATACACTGTAATTTTAGGCTTTGAAATATGAGCATAATTATAATGTAGATTCACACTATTTCTAATAAAGAATTTATTAGAATTATCAAAGAAGACAAAGACATTCTGATTTTACTGGTCAACTGTAATTAATCAGACTTAATTACTATAAAATTGTGATCCATTCCAATATTGTTTATGTCGAGTCTAGAAAACTCTATATAATGGCATGTAGAACTCTAGATTCACTATGCCAGCTGTTGATAAAACAGAACATAGGGCTTTTCCTTATGACATGATATAAGTAAGTACAATATATAGCGCATTATAATTACATCATCTCTAAAAGCATTCAAAGAGAAAAATACTACATGTACACTAAACAATTGGCTTGAAATAAAATTGTTACCGGTACATAGTTAGTTACGTAATTCTATTCATTCTTGAGGATTATTTAAAAGTCTGTATTTTGGGCAATTAGGTGACAAGAGTGCTGCTTCCAGCTTAACCCAGAACAATGCCTGTCCCTCGGGATGTTCTTCCCACTCAATGTACGTTTTCGTGGTCAGTATCTTATGCAATAGGATCGGCATATCTTTCGCAGACACCTTCTCAAGTACAACCACAACCAGAATATCTTCGTGATTGTCGAACATGCGCATGCGTGCCATCTCCAGTTCGAAGTAACACCATTCACTTTTGATGAAGTTTTTGGAGACAACCAACAGGACTTTACGGCTGTATTTAACAGCATTCGCGATATTATCAACAACTGCTTCTCCCACAATGAAGTCGCGGTAGTCAACACACAGTTTGAAATTGCGATCGATTTCCAACGATGGTTGTAATACAGAAATGATCCAATGTTGGTCTTTGCTGTTGTAGGACACAAACGCGTCATATTTAATGTTTTCTCCATCAATTGGTGGTGGTCCTTGATTGTTGATTTTTTCATATTGCTTCCTAAGACGTCGTCGTTGATTCCAGTACCTTTATTCAAAAAGGAAAAAAAATCATCTTAAAAATAGATCTTAACATCAGTGACCTTTTGCTGACCACCTGCCCCTGATATATGTTCATGGTCCCACAAAACGTCAGCGTAAACATACATAAACATGCGTGATGTCTTCAATTTTTTTTTGCATCGAGTGATTTTCAAGGATGCCAATCAAAGCTAACGGCTGATATCCGAGCATTACTAATTCAAGAGTAACAGTACAAAAGAAAATCTCGTTTACTTTTGTTTGCTATACATGTATGTTTATATGAATATTTGCATGTTTACATTGAAGCATATAGGTTTAACTAAACAATATGAATAAAGAACTTGTCAACTCGTGGGAGCAGCACATCCTCTGGATGGTATACAGTGAATTAATTAGATTTGTCGTATTTCCAAGATTAATATTAAATCAAATAATCAGATTATAATAACTATAATGCTATAATTCACATAAAATCCACTAATTCCAAATAAATAAGAAATAAAGTAATTCCGAATACAGACAGCATTTCCATTTTTGATCTATTTTATGGTTTTCAACTAATAGGCCTGCTATTCTTAAAACTAATCAAATAGATTGAGTCTTTGCGTCCTCAGATTGTCTCTTCTCCCGGTACCCCACCTGCTTGTTTTTGTTATTGTCTTTTTTTTCTTAACTTGGTGAGCCTACCTTAAATCATATCTGAAGAAGTACAGAAGGGATCCAATTATTACAATGGCAACTACAGCTGAATCAGGTGGAATGGTAATTCTTAAGATCTTAATTAATTTGCTACACTGCAATGTATCAGGATCAAAATGAAGCAGTTTTATGTACACCTTTCTTTGTCCATGTCTAATGAAACATGTTTGCAAGTGTGACATTCGTCTTGCCTATCCAATTTCTAAACCAAACTAAATTACAATCACACGAGAATCTGTTGTATGATACATTAATTTTCTGCAATTGGCTCAGGTTTTGAAACCCAACAGTTTCTTTAATAGTGAGAAAATTGTTATCAAGAGCTATTGTATTTATACTACTGGAACGGACAAATTATTGTTATTATTATTATTATTATTATTATTATTATTATTATTATTATTATTATTATTATTATTAGTATTAGTATTATTATTATTATTATTATTATTAGTATTATTATTATTATTATTATTATTATTATATTATTATTATTGTGTATATATAGGTACATAAGTGCAGACAAATTTTGAAAAACGCTTGTTTGGGAATGACAAAATGGAATTGTCAGAAAGATCAATTTTTTTCAAATGTTTACAATGTTTAAAGACATCACTGTCTAATGTGGTAATTCGGCAGTTTTGTAGCTGCAATAATTCAAGCAATACAAGGTCCACACGAACCATACTGCTCGAGGTTGATTGAGGTACTTGTTATCATTCATCGAGAGATATCTCAGTTTTCTCAATCCCCTGAATGCATCGAATTCAATATTTGTGTACTTTAGCAGGTTATTTTGAAGATGCAGAAATTCTACGGGTAATGTGTTGAATGAATTGTTCTTCAGTGATGCAATGTTATTGTACCCCAAGAAATAATAAAAGAACATCAGTTGGTACCGTGTTCTTTAAAGGAATTTTTGATAACAGCCGATGTGAACAATTTACAATATAGGTATTCTACGATTGGTGTTCCTCCTTTTCCACAATATGTGCAGTTACATCTCTCTGAACACCGTAGATCGTTGGGCGGGTGTGTTCCATTAATCGAAAGAGGATCGTAGCTAAACAAATCCGGTACGAATAACATTCCATCGTAATCAATGACGCCATTAAACCGTGAGCCGTATTTATTTAGCCACACCAGCTTAGGCTGTGATTTAGAATGTGTTGTCAACAAGCGAAATAACAAAGTTGTATAAGGTAGAGTGTATATAACTCCATGCGCACATTAAATAAGTAGGATATGCTTTGTCTAAATATTATTTCCTGCGTAGGCCTTGTGTAAACATAAATGCTGAGATATATTTCATTCGTTGTGTAAATAGCCAAAACAGAGCTCTATTAAATGTGATAAAATGCTTCTCATCATACCAAGCTAGAAGTATCCAAAACGTACATTTATGAAGACTTACCAATGTTAAATAGCAGCTCAGACACTGTATGTCACAGAGGCATGCCGTCCTTAAAAAAACCAAAGCACTAAAGAATACGTACTTTTACGTGATGGAGGGCTTGCCACCAGCGGATGTCAGCATGAAACGTAAATATGCAGATGTAATGTCAAGAGCATAAGTCAGGAAAACACCCAGTTTTCCGAAATGGAATTTTGTATATTGATGGAAGACCCTAAAATGACCCTATTACTGGAGCAAGTATCTGTCTCTTATACACATCTAGATGTGTATAAGAGACAGGTACAGGGAGGTACTGTAATATTATTAAAAATATAAACTATTTTTAACAACTAGAGTATATCTGTGTACTCGAGCCTATATAGCTTCGCCTTCTATTACTCCTTCATTTTCACTCAACCACGAAGACTCTGCTATCATCTAAACCCAAATACATGCCGATCTTAAACTCTTATATAGGGTGGTGTATGCAAATACAGGCTTCAGCTATGGACATCATTATGATTGGTGGTTCGACCTATGCGGACCTATTATTAACCACTCATCTGTGCTATGGTTTGTGTAGTGTAGCGAAGTCTACATGTTAGATTTCAAAAACCCACACATGGTGCCTTTTCTTTTGCATCTTTCTGTTTTCCAACTCTGATTGGCTAGATAAGAATATGCTCGTCTGCAAAAGCATAGGAATCGTTCTTTCCGTCAAAATCTATTGCGGACGTAAGATGCCCAAGTGTGCTGAGCACAGCAAAGTAAATTTGTATGATGTACTTAGTTATTATACGAATTATTATTCTATTGTTAATATTGTTTAAGTTTTTTTTTTTTTTTTTTTTTTAATTTGAAGGGAGTTGAATTTCTTATGGTTTGATCAAAAATCAACTTAACTTCATCCCCAAGACCGTAATAAGAGACTTAGTTTATAAATGATCGTTTCACCGTGTAAGTAGTGAGTGTACTTGTTGTTGGATGTTCAGGAAAATTTTTAAAAAATGTGTAAGTTAGGATAAATCATAAAATTTTGATAGTAACATGGAGGAATTAGTTAAAAAGAGAAACATTGTATGTGAATATTCTAGTTAATGACTGATATTTAATTAAATTATATCCAAACACTTACATTGTATCTTGACTTGTGTTTTATGAGGCGCCAAGTGTAAATTTATTATTTAACACAATTATTTATATATAATCCATTATTTAACATATAATTGACTAATAGATCACCCATTATTTATATATAATGCATTTACGTCTAAAAGGTTATAATGTAAGTAATTACGTTAACGTTTTCTTTATTTATATATAATTAGTGTACTGATTTCATTATATATAAATAATGAAAGGATAACCAAACATTATTTATATATAATAAGGTTATTGGTTTCATTATATATAAATAATGAAAGGGTAACACATCATTATATATAAATACTGGAAAGTAACTTACAATTATTTATATATAATAAATTCACTGATTCCATTATATATAAATAATGAAAAGGTAACAAATCATTATATATAAATAATGAAAAGTAACTTACAATTATTTATATAGTCATTGATTTCATTACATATAAATAACGAATTGACTTCAAATTCATTATATATAAATATCTGCTTTTACATTTCATTATTTATAAATAATAGCTGTCGCAAAGCCATTATATGTATATAATGCTTGGATTTCAAACTCATTATATGTATATAATGCACACGTGTTATCGTGTCAAGGTCACTATATCTAAATAATGGTTTCTTACTGACAATTATAGGGCCTATATAAATAATCGTTGAGGTCGAGTGTCATTATATATAAATAATGACATCGTAGGAAGCCTTGGTTTATAAATAATTCTTTATGCAAATTACTAAGTAATAAATATTCATCAGTGCTCTAAAGTTATAATTAAGGCGTATTGTGTGTGGTCGCACACCATCACTAATCGAAAATGGCACAGTAAGGGATGCAGCAGACTATTGAATCTGTCTGTACTGCAAATCTCAAATCAATTAAGAAAACCCCAAAGTGAACGCTGCGGCCCTCAGGAATCACGATTTGAGTCTGTCCGTCCGGGTCCGGATAAATGCTGGTGATAGACATAATACCGAAGTTCATCAACACCCAACGTTTACGCCGAGGGTGAATACTGTTTGTTCACATTTTTAGAGGTAGGACTTAAATATTATAAAGTAGGTTTCATACACTTTATCCATAGCCCTGTGACATGGGTCATATCATGTAAAGATAATAATTTGTCCCGAATTATGGGATTCGGTGAGTAAGCACGTACCATTTTGAAGCTCCGCTGAAACGAAAGTTACACTTCCAAAGTTATAGCTGAAAGAAACACAAATATATCATAGTAAGTCTCCATCTTCCTTTAACATACAACTATAGTGTGGAAAATCGAAACTAATTATTAAAATGAGTTCTACGAGAGCTAAAATGAAGAAAAATATGGAGGCCGAGACAACGCCCATGCAAATTTCGCAGCTCGCCCGCTGCCTCCGCTCAGGCGGAATTTGACACGTCATCTTCTATTGAGATAAAGGCCTTGCGGAATGATCTGAAGGAAATGGTCACGCAACTGAATTTAAATATCGATACAGGAATAACTACTATAAAATCCAACCAACAATTATTACTAGATCGGATGACAAATATGGAGAAGAAACAAACTGAATTTGAACAATCGCTCGAAAATTTCACAGATATGACAACTGAAACAGAGAAGAAAGTAATTGATTGTACTACTCGTATGGTTAAAATGGAATCTGAATTAAATGAAAAACAGAAAATGATAAGTAATTAATTTGGAAAGTAACATTTTGAAAATGGAGACACTCAAGAAGTTATAACCTCAGGTTTGGAGGAATAAAAGAAGACAAAA